TATATACTCCAAAGATTGAAGGTCAAATGGAATCAAATTTAAGCGTTGAATGCTAAAAGATGAAATTTGAGCAACTTTTTTTTTCTTACTTTAACTATTCAACATTAAGCATAAAATATTTACTCACTTCAGTAATTTCAACCGTTTTTATATATTTGTAATTCTTTTCTCTCTGAGAAAAAAGTGTTAACTGCCACAAATCTAATTAATACTAACTACCTCTACCATTATTACTATATCAATAATAATAATAAATGAGAACAGATGATAATACTGATAAAAACAGTAATTTTAATTATTTGATATTTCTAATATTTTCATTCTGTGTATTAAAATTAGAAATGGAAGAGACATACTTGTTCTCTTTTCTCTTCATTTCGTCCTGTTTTTCATCTTTTCTTATTTTTACACTCCACTAATAATATATATTATTCATTGCAATCCACAATATTTTTCATTTAATAAATTACCTCTCTCTTTGTCACCTCTTATTTCAAATGACTGTCCCCTCTCTCTTCCTCTTTTCCTTCCCCTCTCTCTCCCTCTCCCTCCCACTCTTTTTCTTTCCTCCTTTATTATTTATTATTCGCGTCCCTTCCATATCAAATAACTCTTCTATAACTCATCATTATCCCAGTAAATTATAAATGAAAGAGAGAGAGAGGGAGAGGGAGAGGGAGAGAGAAGAAGAATACATCTGTCGTCTGTCCTTTCATTCATTTATTTTTCTCGTCCTGTTGTCTATCTCTTACAATTCTTTCTTCATCACAACTTGAGGTGACATTTCCGCGGGTAGCATTCATTCAATTCTTCAACTATTTAAAATAAATCTCAATTATCATTAAACTTTTTTATTCTTAGACAAATACATCTATGTATATACAAGCTCTTATGTTTTTGTATGTACAATTATAATAAAGTAAAATTCAATATTTAAAATTGAAATATAATATGTGGAAATGAAATTTGTATAAATTGATTTATCAGTTTTGTTTGTTTGATAGACAAAATTAAGCGGAAAAGATGCATTCTTTTTTCTTTTTTTTTTTTTTTTTGCTAGAGTTTATTTCGATCAGATATGAATACAAAATACATACATAAAAATGTTATATAGATATATATATAATTTATTTCAGTTTAACATTATAAAATATTAGTTCAAATTTTATTTTTGAGTTTTTTGAATTTTTTAAAACTTCATTTGTCACGACATTTTTACTACTTTTCTTTATTTATTTTTGCAAACTTATTATTGTCATTTGTCATTATTTACTATTAATTAATTCTCATTAACTATTGTTATCACTGAATAGATTGCAGTTGCTTTTTTCTCCCAATTTCAATTAATTTCTCTTTTTCTTTTTCAAACTTTTTTTCCCATGCTGATATCTTTTTCAAATTTATTTCCTATACTTTCAAAATTTTAAAAAGAGTGAAGGAATTTTTTCACCGCTATTTTTCATTAATTATCATACTATTAATACTAGCCTTCCAATTCATTTAGTCACATTTTAGTTTCTAAATTAGTTATATTATGTATTTGTTCATTATTATTATTTTATTTATTATTATTACTGTTTTTTAAGCCATTATTAATAAGTTTGATATATGCTATAAAATATGGAAATTTGTGCCTCAATTTAAGGTTAATTAACGTTAGAAAATAATTAGTAGAATTAATGTATGCATATATATGTAAGTATGTAACAATATTTATTCTTATTTATATTTTCCAGTCCATTGCTAATAATGGATTACTTATGCAGAATTAATAATTCGTAATTTAAATCTGCCATTACCATTTGTTTTCCGTTTATTGTTTCCTGAAATTTATTCCAATAATACTCGAATGAATTTAATGATACACAAATACATTTATAGTTTCTAATGTACATTTTTAAAATAAATCAAATATACTGTTACTAATACAAATTAACTCAACTTAATATTTCCATTTATAGATTACTTTCTGAAATGTTCAAAATTAGCCATATTAGTAATAGTATATTTTGCTTATTTTCCTATATAATTTTTTGAACTTATTGGATTTTAAAACTATCAATTAATAGGGACTGAAGAAAATGAATAAATCATAAATGAGAAATTGAAATTTTACTTGATTAATATGCTTATATTCAATTTAATCCATTTTCTTCTTTCTTCTTTCCTCTTTTTTTTGAATGTATGGATTGAAAAGAGAAGATAGGCAAAATTAATTTCATTTTTAAGAAATGAAATTAATTTTATTACAAATCAGTTAGAATTCATTGCACAGGAATATTTTGAAATTCAATTCATCACGAAAGACGAAGACGAAAATGAAAGAAGAGAGAGATATTTTGGAACATTTCACATTCTGTTTGGTTGCAGTGTCCATTTGCATATAGAGAAATATAAAAAAGTATTTAAATGTTTGGTAGTTATGAGAGTCTCTCTCTCTCCCTCTCTCTCTTTTTCTCCTTTCATTTCTTTCATTAGACCTCCCGTCCTCTCTCTCCCTCTCCCTCTCTCCCTTTCTCTCTCCTTCCCATTTTTTTCACATTTTAACCTCTCACATGCATTTGAATTTCTTCGTTTCATTCGTTTTGTAGGTTTATCGGTATTTCTTTTGTATTTTGCATGGAAAAAGAGATATGAATGAATGGATGGATTAAAGAAGGTAAGTTCAAGCGTAAGTTAGATAGATTTTTACGTGATTTCTACGTATGCCAGATATACTCCTATACGACTTCCACGTGTGCTAAAAAAAAAAAAATGCAAAATCATGTAGAAATAATGATTTAATGATTTAGAAATAATGATTTCTACATGATTTTGCTACCTGATTTACGTACTAAATAAATTCCTGTGTGATTTCTACAAATCTTTTTTGAAACTCTCACTTTCTTACTTAAACTACAGTTTTTTCCTAAGACAATATTGCATTTTGGATTTAAATAATAGAACAATTATAAAACAGCGAGAAAAAAAGAAGCAATAAACGGATAAAAGATTGAAAGTAATTAAGCAACAAATTGATTTAGACTTATTAATTAAAACAGTTAGCATTATGTAATTCATTTGCAATAGACTTTCATTATTATATTATCACTGAACTGATGGAAATCATTGATATCAGTTAAAGTATATACTATGCCATATAATGGATCCATTTTCTGCCCTAATTTTTTTTGGCTTTTTTTCCAAACTTCACACACTTTTTTTTTTTGAAGTTTACAATAAATCTTTTTTATTAGAGCATTTTAACTTTTCTAAAATTTAAAAGTTTTCTTCTTTTTTTGAAATTTAACTTTAACGGCAATCATGTTTTTATTGATGTTGATGAGAGGTATTATTATGATCGCAAAATTATTTACTTCTGTTTCATTTTTTTCTTTTTTTTTTTGAAATTTATACTACCCTAATGTAAGTTAATTTCTAATGTAGCTTTTTTTTAAATGTTTAATGTAATTTCTAAAAATTTCTAATGTAACCTATAGCCATTCATATAGTCATAGCCAAATGATTTTCACAAAATTCAAATTACAATAATTTCTTACTTTTAATTTCAAACTTTTCTAATTTAGTTTTTTTTTTTCAAATGAATTATAATGTGGCATTCACTCTTTTAACTATTAATTGACATCAATTATGTTATTAAAAAGAACAAAAAGAAGAAAAAATAAATAAAATTGAAATGCGATGATTTTATTTGAATATACAACTGAAAAGATGTGAAAAAAAAATTGATTCAATCCATTTCATTCAAATTTTATAGCTCTAAAAAAGTGTTGTGAACATTCTCCTTTCTTTCTTTCTCTCTCTCTCTCTCTCCCTCTTCCTCCCTTTCTTCCTTCATCTATTTACTGATCGTTTGAAAACCTTTTTTGCTCATTTCTTAAAGAGATTCTCTCTGTTTGTCTCTCTACCTCTCCCTCTCTTCTCACCTTCCTATTGATTTATTTCATTGTCTTCTTTATACCCACCGTCAAAATTTGTTTCTTTTTTTCATTTTTTAAATTACATATTGTTTATATTTTTAATTTTAATTTAATAACTTTAATTTTTAATTTCAAAACTTTCACAGTGTTTCCTTTCATACGATAAAAATTATATATAAAATTTTTTTTTGTTGGAAATTTTCCACTTTATTTCATATGAAGAAGGAAAAAAATTCAAATAATTATACTTTTTTCTTCTTTTTACAATTCGAATTACAGCAATTTTCCATTTTTGATTTCAAATCGTTCTAATTTAATAGTAAATCCTTGTGAAATATTTTTAATTTTATTTTTAATTTTATTAAATGTTTGTGAAAGAAACTGAAACGATTATTATTTAAAAAGTAAAAATAACATTTGACGACTAACCAGCATATTCCGATATTATCTGTGATGTTGATAGCATCTGGCACTAAATATATTTTTTCCTCCTGTCTGTTTCTTTTTTCCTTTCTGAACTCATTCAAAATTGATCAATTTTATAGGGAATTAATTTCTCTCTTATTTACAAGTACCGAAATAATGAAATGAAATAAAATTGATGTAATTTAAATGATCATATATTACTTATCATTTGTAACTGATAAAAAAATTGGAGTGAAATAAAGATAAAAAACATCAATTTTTTTTTTTTGCTTTTCAAATTTGTCACTTATTTTTATCACTTAATGAAAAAAATAGCATTAATAAAATTTATATATAGATATATAAATGATAATTTATTGGTGATAAATACTATCATTATCATTTATTATCAAATGGCGTGAAATAACGGAATTTTGCTTTGATGTTGTGATAAGTGATATAATCCTTGCTATTATTTCAGTACAAAGAGAGGGATAAATAAAGGGAAAAGAAGGAGAAAAAGAGAGAGAGAGAGGGAGAGAGACAAACAAACAAACAAACAAACAACAACAGAAATAACAACAATATCATCAATTGTCTCGACAGCGATCATTTTCTCTCTTAAATCATTGCAAGCTGACAATTTTATCATTAGCTATCACTGCTATCATCGTGATGTCATTTGAAGATCTCTACGATTACTGCTTCCGAAATATTGGTGCTATACATTTGATTCCATCTGCTGCTTCTGCTAAAGGTTATCTTTGATTGAATTTTAAGCGAGAAAAATAAGATTAGTACTGATAATGTTTGCACATGTTGAGAAAAAGTCGAAATAAAACAGTGGAAGTGAATAAATTTAGAAATAATTAAATTTTGAAATCGAATAATGGAAATGATTAAATTTTTATGGACGAAAAATAATGGTAGTAATGGTAATATTAGAAATGTCGAGAGGAAATGATGAAAATGATTAAATTTAGGAATAATTAAATTTTGAAATTAAATAGATGAAAATGATTAAAATTTTGTGAGGGGAGAGTAGTATGATAATCTCTAATGTAGAAAAGAGATAATGCAAAATGATTAAATTTTAGAAATAAAATAGAGAAAAAAGAAAATGAAACATTGGAAAGAAAATTCACAAAAATGATTAAATGTTGAAGTAAAGAATAAAAAGTGTTCAGATTTTAAAATGAATAGTAGAAATTTGGAAATTTAAATTCCTTTTTTCTTTTTAACTTTTTTAATTTTAGAATTGAAATTAATTTTTTTTCTTTTTTTAAGTGTTCTTTTTTACTTTGAGTTGTAAAATGTATGATTGCTTAATATTTTTAGTATTTTTATAGCAACTTTTCTCATCCTTTTGGTTGTGTTTTTTTATAAATTTTGCAAGTATTACAAATTTGATATTTATTTGACATTTACACAAAATATAACTAAAATTCATTTTTTTTTAATTCGAAATTTCAATTCTTTTAAATTCAAGCAGTGTTTGCTCCCAAACAATCAGTGATATACTTAAATTATCACTATAACTCAAATTATTGATACCATTTAAGTAAGTATTAAACAGTATAAATGAGCTGAAGAAATTTAAATTTATTCGGATGAATTGTTACAATGAATAATTGTTCTCTATGATAATTCTCTCTGTGTGTGTTTAAAATTTATTTAAAATCTGATTTCATTCGTACTTTTTACTAAATGAAGATAGTATTCGTCTTATTTACTAAATGTAACTTATGAAATTTATTAGAATTCAAAAATTTTTTATAAAAAAGAAAAAAAAAAAGTGTGTGTGTATATATACTATCCATTATTTTGAGCGTTAATTTTTTGCTTTTTAATGATCTGAAAAAGAAATACTAAGTTAATAGAATTTAGGTAATTATGCATGGTTTAAATGAGAATCGTAACAAATTACAAATTATTAATTTAATGGTTACCAAATTAGTTTAAAAAATATTAGTTTTATTAGCTAGTATGGAAATATTAGTTTCGAAAATAGTCCAAAGGTCATCAAACTTTTATCGGAAACATAATATGAATTTATTAATTTGTAATGATAACAACTGTTACCACTTTAATGTTAAAATAATTCTTTTAGCAAATTTTGATGATTTTTTATAGTGTCGAAAAATGAATAATATCTTTTTTTTTTTCTTTTTGGTCAGGTAGTAATGAAGATCAGAATGAGTTGACAACATTGGACGCCGTATTCGCAAGTTCTCGATATGTTATTTTTTACCTGATCAATTCGAGCAGTACCCGTTCATTGGAACCTATTTCATCGTTAAAAAAACTTATCCAACAACGAAATAGTATTTTTGCTAATTGTCCAAGAGAGTGAGTTTTTACTTAATTTAAACAAATATTAAATTTGAATTTCAAAAAGAAAAACAAGAAAAAGGAAATGAAGTGATAAAATTTTTGCAAAATAAAATTTAAAATTTTAATTGCCGTATATTTTTTATGCTGTCTTATTAAGTGTACATTTTAAATTATATATTATTTTGGTAGTTTCAGTTAATTTCAACTCTTCATATGCAATCTTTACTGCATATTTTATTAAAATGTGTAAGTTTAGAAGTCAAAAATCAAAAATTACAAGTTAAAAAAAAAAACGAAAAATTTTTTCTAGCATAATAACAGTTGATTTAAGTTAATAAATAAATATACCTAAAATAAGTGATAATTTGAAAATTGAAATGAGTTGTTGCATGAGATTTGCAAATCGCATTTTGTTCTTACAAAATGAAGTCAAAAAAAAAAAAAAAATTTGTAGTAATTAATAAATAATCGATGAATTTGCTTTTTATTATTCCTTTTGTTTTTGCATTGTTAATTTTTCCTCGAATAATTTGTGGTAAATACATGAAACAGATTTATTTGATTTAAACAATTTTTAGTTAATAATTTCCAATTTCTTCCATATCGATTATTTCCCACTTCATTTCCTAATAAAAACTGATGCTTTAAATAATTCATGAATATATCTTAAACACGCAAATAAATCAAATGGATATATTTGATTTAAGCAATTTTCGATTAATAATTTCTTAATCATTTTCAATTTATCACTATATCATTTATTTATTTCATCTCTGTAAATAATATTAACAAAAATTCTTCCCTTCGGAAAAGTTTTCCTTATTTCCGGAATGGAAGTATATCATTTAATGTTTTACATAATACGTTTATTATTTTTTCTTAACTTTTCAATCCTAAATTTTTTTCTTTTTGTTATCCTTACTTTTAAAATGCAACAGCTGTTTAAGTTATTATTATCATCAATCTAATGTTCCTTTTCTTCTCTCTCTGAAATTGCATTTATTTCTTCTCATTATTATTATTAAAATGTAAAAAGTAATAGATTCACTATCAATTATTCCTTAAAAATTCAATAAAATGAAAGGAAATGGAAAAAATTAAAATAAAGTTGTTGTTATGTTTTTTTTTTTTTTCTTTTTTCAATTTTAGTGTTAATTTATTCAAATACTAATTTTACAATCTGTAAGGTTGAGAAATGACTATAAATAGAGAGTGATGTATGATATCATATGAATTTTTTCGAAAAATTTTCTCAATCGCTGAACATTTTATTCAAATTTTCAACAAAATTGAAATTTCTGATTGTTAAAAAATTTGTTATCATAAAAGAAAATTTAATAATAGTAAAGTATATATCAAATTGTCGTATAATCATTGATATATATATTTGATACTAGGGATGTTAAATTTTTTATAATTTTAAAAGTTCCAAATTATTTGCTTATTATTTACTACGATCGTTTAACTGTTAAAACTTCCGAACTGTAATGACCATAACTGTTAAAACTTTTATCTTACTTTACTTATCATTGTAATAACCTTCCATAATTACTCCTTCATTTTACACCAATCAATTTTTAATTTTCATCAGTTAATTACTCACTTTAATAGTTATCACATCGTCGTATATAATGGCTTTAATGGAATTATTCTTTTGAACATTTTTTTCTGTCCTTCTTTTTACGACTATTTATCCGACCCGTAAAGGTTAAAAGTCTCATTATCGGTTTCTCTTTGATTATTCCACCATCCTATAACCCAAAAATTTCGAATATCATTTATCGGTTACTCTTATCTCTCTCAAATATCGTTCATTCATTCCATTCTCTCATCCATTTCTCTTTTTTTTTTTTTTAATAATTCATTTTCCTTTTATTTGCATTGTCGACATTAAAATGAAAATAACTGTTTTTATTATAGATTGAAGGAGGTAAAAATAAAGCAATTTTTAATTGTCAAATTTTAAACTTAAACCTGAAATTGAAATTTTGAAAAAATAACAAATTTCAAATTTAAAATTGCATGAAATCATAGTATTTTTTATCATTTTGACATTTTTCTCCCTTTTTTTTTGTGGAAATTATACATAATTGCAGTCTAATAATAAATTTTGGTAAGAAATAAAAATTTGCATGCTTTTTTGCATTAGCATTTAAAAGAAACAAAACAAAATAAATTATTGAATTGTATAGTAAAATTATTAAAAAATTTAATTTACTTTCATTTAGAAGCTGCATTTTTTCATTTTGCTATATATTTTATAAATTCTTTTAGTTAGATCACAGATTTCTGAGAAAATTCAAGTATCATTAATTTTACATAGTATTTTGAGAAACAATCAAAAAAATTGTACGTTAAACGAAATAAAAAATTTTTTAATATGCTTGTCATTATTACAATCAAATCATATCAGTGCTTATATTTAAATATGAGTAATGAAAATAAATAAAATAAAGTTACGAGTAATTTTTTGCAAGCCAATTATACATTGATTATTTCCTAGTTAATTTAACTTCTATGTTAATTTATAATTAATTTAATTTTATATTTAATCTTTAAATTGTTTTTTTTTTTTCCAGAAGTCCAGCTCGATTACGTCGTTTTTTTGGTGTAAGTAAGAAGAGTAAGAAAAAAAGATTGGTTGAAGTGGATGATGTTAATGTTGTAATCATTGATTTGGACCTGTATAATGATGATGATATCAGACCACACCCTGCTATCAGTGAATCAGGATGGTATATCATCGTACCTATCAATATCATGGCTAAAGTTAGTTTCAAAATTTTTCATCTTATAAATTTTTTTTTTTTTGACAAGAAATTTGCTATAATGTAAGAAACACCAATAAGTTTTTACTTTCATTATAATCTATTTTTTATTTCCGCCAATTTAATTCTTTATTTCGAATTTTTGTGTTTGCTAAAAAAATTTGAGATAACGTTTTGAACGACTTTTTTTTTTTTGTTTTTAGAGCCGTCTACTACGAGCTTTACGTTATTGTTCAACACCATCATTAATTGTTGTTGATGCATCAACTAGACAAATTATCACCGATGATGGTCGACGTCTGTTGCAGGATGATCCAAATGGTTTAAATTTTCCATGGTAAGAGAAATTTTCGTTGATTTTTTCTTTTGGTAAAAATAATATTTATTAGTCAAAATTAAATTTTTGAATGTTTTTGAATAATACAAATAATTAATTAGCTTTTTGTGAAACTTAGTCTTTATTTATGCACATAAAATTACAGATTAAGTTATGATTCAAATTAAGTAATTTCATAATCTTATGGTTTAATTAATTAGAATTTAAAAAAAAAAAATCTAGTTTAAAAAAATGTTTGATTATTAGATTAATCTGTTCTAGTATATTAATCCTTAAAATTTTTTAAATCATCTAATAAAAGAAACGTATCGCTTATATATTCACATTAATTATGTAAATATATGAAGTAAAATTAATTATGTAAAAATATAAAATGAGTTATAATTAAATTTAGATATCATCATAATCTTACATTTAATTAATTGGAATTAATTCATCATAGAAAATTGAATTATTTCTCGAAAATGAACTAATTTTATTAAAGGTGTAATGCGACACCAGAAGAGCTTTTTCAAGGTGCTGTGCTAAGGAATTGTAAGGAAGCTGATGGTACCAAGAAAATAGTAACTGAAAATTTTCAAAATTTAAAATCAACTGTCAAAGGCTTATACTTTGGTGCTAATTGGGTAATTTTTTCATTCATTTTTCTTTTTTTCTTTTCGCTTTATTTTTTATCTATTTATTATTCTTTAACTTATTTCTCATTCCAAAAAAAAAAAAGAAAAAAATGAAAATTTCTTTTGAAATGTCTATTTTAGTGTCCACCATGTCGGTCATTCTCACAACAATTGATATCTTGCTATGAATCACTCAAAAATGCCGGTATTCCATTCGAGATTTTCTTTTGCTCATCTGATAGGTGAATATTTTGTAAAATTATGTAAAGAATAAAGTTATTGAGTTAGCAGCTAATTATATTTTTCAGTCAGAAACAAATTCATAATATTATAATATGAAATAATTTGATGAATTTATACTATCTTCTTAATTATACTATTTAAATTATAAATTATTTTTTCTCATATAAAAACTTAGAAATTTATAAATCTTTTTTTTTTATACTAAAAATTTTCACGTAGAAATACACAATCATTGATTTCCCATACTATGAGTTTAAAGAATGGAACAGTTGTTGACAAGCAAATATTTATACAAAAGACATAGATTAGGTTTTGTGACAACAATAATTAAAACATAATTAAAACAAAATTAAAACAAATGACACAAAAATATATTTAAGTAACTTTTTAATTAATTGATAGATAATTTCAGATCACAAGAATCATTTGAACATCATTTTTCAACGATGCCTTGGTTGGCATTTCCGTATGATCCGCAGAAAGCAACTCAGCTTACTCGTTTGTATAGCGTAAATGGTAGAGTTTACTTTAATTTTTCACGTGTCTATTTTATTCAATTCATACGTATTTGACGTTAATACGCATGGGCGCACGTATTCTTAAAAACATTGGTAATATATTTTTAAGAAAATAAAATTTTCATATGCATAAATATGTAACGATAATAAGGAAATGTTAACGTAACACAACAATCATACAATGCATTTAAAAATTTATCAATTATTAAGTAATATTCTACTTCATTTAAAAAAAAATGTGATTTAAAATTTTTTTTTAAATATCATTTGAATTTAAGTTCCAAAATTAAACAGAATTGCATAAAAAGATATTAAATAGAAATGAAATTATTATTATAAATATTTATTATAAATATTTTTATTATAAATAGTCAATTATTATAAATATTTAGGTATTCCGGCATTTTTATTATTGAACGAGGAAAATCGTCTAATAACGAGGCACGGTCGTAATGTACTACTTAATGATCCATCCGGTAGTTTATTCCCGTGGGGACCGTTACCATTGTATGAATTAAATGAAAATACATTGTGTCGATTAAGAGATGAACCTTCATTAGTGTTATTTACAGGTAATTGGAAGATTCCATTTCTTATATTATTATTATTATTTCAGTTTATTTCAACAAATAATTCCTTATTCTTTTCCCACTAAAAAAAAGAAAAAAAAATGTTTTTAGAAGGTTCACCAGATGATGTCACTTTCTCGATGGAAGTATTACGACCAACCGCTGAATCACTTTTCCGAGAACGAAAGGAATCAATTAAGCATTTGCCATCAAAGGAAATTGATAGCACTGATAACAATACTAATGGAAATAATGATTTGAACAATTTAGCATATTCAACTAATTCAGTAAATAGGTATCAGTTCAGTTTACATTTGTTTCAAAATATTCAAATTACAGTTTTAAGCTAATTCGATTTTCTTGTTGTTATGTTTATATATTATTTAGGACTAATTAATTTATAATAATAATAAGTAGAATTTGTGAAAATTGAGATTTCCGATTTTTGATGGCGAAAGAATTTAAACGTTGATAAATTTAGCTCGATCTCATCTGATATATCGGTACCACCATGGGTTGATCCATTGCAAATATTTTATACTGGCGATGATCCGTTATGTGATTTTATACTGGAAGGATTAGGATTGGATAATGCAGAATTACCTCTTATTGTTATTTTGGATGCAACAGTTAGTCGGATGTGTGTTTGTGAAAAACCGGATGTAAGCGGTGAAATTGTTGCCGAGTTTGTTGCTGCTTACAAGAATGGAAAGCTAGATATGGTACCGTTGCCAACAACATGTCAGGTTACTTTTAAATTTAAAAATTTATCTTTTTAACTGGAAAAATTTCTCCAAAATATTGCTTTTCTAATGGTCTGTGAAAATAACTAAATCGATTCCGGAAACAAAAGTGTATCCCTAAAAACAAAAAAAAAAAAAAGAAGATGGTTATTATTAGATACAGTCATTTGGTTGTAATTCAATGTTTCTTTTCTTTTTTTTTTTTTTGAAATTTTCTAAGTTTTTTCTCTTCTTGTTTAAAATTCTTTCAAATTGAATTTCAGAATAATACTCAACCAACTCGTTATGGTAGTATTCCAGCGCAAGCTGTTCATCAAGCACTGGGAATCGGCAGTGCTCAATCAGCTAATTCAATTTTAAATGAAAATCAAACAGCAACAGCTAATGATCAACACATACCTATCGTTCTTTAGTGTAATTGTTGTCATTGTTTTGTCTTTCTTGCAATTACTGAAATATCCATTTTTCCGGATCCAGTTTCTTTCTGTCTTTCTATACTGCACATTCAATCAGTATTTCCTACGATATAATATGTATTAAAAAAAAAAAGAAAAAAACGACATGAAAAAATGTTTTAAATTTATCAATTTTTTGAAAAGAAAAATAAGAAAAAAGAATAATTTTTTTGAAAAAAAGTGGAATAATGGATGATTATAAATACGAAAACGGAAGTGATGGAAACGCAAAAGAAGATGGATTAACATTTCAGGATGATATTTCAGGATAATACAGTATTATTGCAAAAATTATTTTTGTTTATACATTTGATTGAATTATTATTATAAAATGATTGATTGTCTTTAGAATAATCAGTTTTTCCTCCTATTTCTTTTTTTTTTTTTTCGATATTATTATTATTCTTTTTCATTTCAAATTTGTGATGAATAATTTCAATTTTTGTAATATTTCTCTTTTTCCCATGCAAATGACAAATTCATATATATATATTTGTACAATATCAAGAAAAAAAAAAAAGAAAAATTATTCTGGCGGATAAACAGAATACGAAAAAATGAATATTTTTTTAATGCTGAATGCCTTTAATCTTTTAATTTCAAAAATTTTTAAATTCGAAATTTGATTATTTTTATGGTAAGAAAGACGATAAAAATGATTTTAAGTATTAGATGCGGCAAATTTTAGCTCGAAAATTTGATAATTATTCTTGGTACAAGTAGAAATATGTAATTCAGACAAAAAATTTTTTTGGAAAATGTAAAAAAAGAGAGACGCGAAGGAGAAATTTGTTTCATTTTTGTTAATGATATTAAATCAGTTTTACTTTACATACAACAAAATTTCTTTGCAAAAGAAATTTTAAAAAATTTAGAATTCAAAGTTTTTCTTCATTTTGCCTTTAATCTATTATCTAGTTTTGCAATGTTTTGAAATATTCTTCTGAACATTTCGTTTTTTTTTTTTTACTTTTTTTTCCAGTTTTTCTTTTTTATTTTTACTTTTTATTTTCAAAAATGGTTTTATGCTACAAAGAATACTGGTACTTGCTTCCCACACTCATATGTTTGGTTTTATTAAAGTATTTCATAAATGTGTTTATTGTATGGTATTATAAACTATTTTAATAATTTTAGTGCTTTAATTTTATTTCAAGAAGTTCCAGTATGTTTCACTTTTGAAATTAAATCGAAATTATGAATGAATGGATAGTACATGTGTCCATTTTAATTCATTATTATATTTTTTTCCTTTCTTTCTCTTTCTTTCTCGAATTTTAAGAATGAAACTTTTTTCTTTCAAAAAAGTTTCGCTTTTTGACTAAGAGAATCGAAGAAAAGGAAAGAAACAAATGAATTGAAAAATTGAAAATAATATGAATCATATTCGGTGAATTGTAACATACCTTTGAATAAATAATATTGAATAATAATTTCTATTTTTCATTTGAAAAGCTCAATTTTTTTTTTTTGAAAAAAATGATTGATTTGGGTAGGTATGATTTCATGATTTATAATTGCTACAGATAAATGTCATCGGTAGTGAAATGTTAAAATAATGAGGCATAAAATGGGAAGCAATTTATTTTGATTTATGGTTTCGGATTTTAATTAAAACGTATTTCCGCTATAAATTAACAAAATCAAATGTGAAAGTACATCTCAATCGTATGGTACTCGAAATGAATTCGAGTTAGTATAAAATCTAAACTCAATTTAAATTAAAACATAAATTTAATCAATAAATAGTATTAATTTCAAAGCGTATCAATACGATATTATCAAATATATCATTTTTGTAGAATTTTTTTCCAAAATTCAATTATCAAAGAAAATTTGTTTTGCGGAAATTGCAATTGTTTCGATCAATCTTTATTAAATTTTATTGCTATCCTTTCGTATATCCTATCTATTATTACTCGGCTTATTAAAAGCTTCGCTCATTTTTACTTTTACCTCTAATCAGTGATTCATTCATTTATTTACTTACCTGCTCTTTTTCTGATATAAAAATGATAAACAATAAATAAGTAAGTTGTATTCAAATTTATGTTAGTATTATTTCTCAAAAATATTGAGCATTTGAAGTAAAAATGAAACTGAAAGACCTAACTTAATATCGAAGAATTAGTGACTGCAAGAATAAAGCTAAAAAAATTGTTTGCTTGTGGTCCGAATGTAATTTACTTATTCACTTATTGTTTACCATTTTTAAACTAGAGAAAAAAACCTTTTTTCTGATTTAAAGAGAACAAAAATTTTTTTCATCTAAGAGAAAAAAAAATGTTTTTTAATCGAAGAATGATAAACAATAAGTGAGTGAGTAATTAAACTTTATTCGGATGTTATTTCGAATGTATGAAAATTGAATTTGAATTTCACATTATTGACTGATTCTTTTTTTACGAGACAAAAAACAATGATATTAACGATAATGAAATCAATGTTATTATTATTATCATTGTCATATCATCATCATAAATACCATTATTACTACCATCATCGGGCAAAATCATCTTGTCCATCGATAAAATCATCATCCTCATCAATACCGCTATTCTATCGCTAGTCTCATTGTTAATATTATCAATATCCTTATCGTTAAACAAGTATCGTTCTTCCTACACTCTCAAAGAGTCGCCTATCAGTAGTGATATTAGGATGACTAGCATAAATATAAATGAAACACGAATATGCTATGTTTGTTAATAGAATCGTTGTTATAACAGTTTTTTTTTTTGTTATAATTTCTACGAATAAACTGCATTTGTAATAAATTTCCGTATTGTATACAAAAGTAACTTTTTTGTGCTTAAATTAACCGATTATCGGAAAAGAAATAAAAAATTCAATCGATAAACATATTACTCAGCTTCTCTTCCTTTTACAACTGGAATTTCAACAACCATAACAGCACTGTCAATCATCACTATCATTATTAACCATAACATTATCATTAATGCCATTATCGTCCTTCCTTATTACTGTACCACCGTTGTTATCATCCTTATCACTACTATTATTACTAACATCATCCATTACCTTGTTAGATGCCAAATGTATTTCAACACAAACAATTCAATAACATTTTTCATACTTGTTGTCTTTCCCCTTCTTCTTCCTTCCTTAAAATTTCTTCACACCATAAAATGCACCTACCTACCTATCTATCTATCTATCTATCCGTGCGCAATTATATCGATGATTCGTAACATTCGCATTAGTGATGTAACTTCGCGTTGTTGAACGCTCGACAATTTCATTCTTTCTTTTTACCTTCATTTCATTTCTTTTTCATTTTATAGATTAAACATCAGAACAGTTTATATCATTTCATTTCCCTTATCACTCACTTTGTTGACAAAAATATTACTAATAGTAATTTTGTCTCTTGCATTCAATATTCATCTGATATGCTTGTTTTGTCTTATCTTTTTTATCTTAACAATAATAACTCCTATAGGCTAGTCCAGTATAATCAAACCTGGTCAGTCTAGTTTGGTCTAGTTTAATTCACAACAATTTACTTTTTAGTTCTATGCATTAAAAAATTTTGTATTTTGATGTTATTTCTTCTTAGCTTAATTTTATTATTATTATCATTATGGTTATCATTATTATTACTATTACTAATTATTATTGTGCTATTAGTTGTTGTCATTATCGCTGTCGTTGCTATTTAAAAAAAAAAACAAACAAATTTTAATAATTTCGTATTTATTCTGCATTTTTATCTATTATCATAAATTAAATTTACCATTTAGTATATGGAGTATTTACTATTATAAATAAATTTAGCGGTTACTTTTAACAAAAACCAATATTTACGCTAATACTAACTCACATTAATTTAATTGAATGCTTAAAAGATTTTAGCTTTCATTTTATTTAACCGTCTGCCAAATTTCACTTTTCGCTTTTGTTGTTTGTTTTAGTTTGTTGAAATAAACAAATGGAACGTATTCCATTGTATTTTCAAATTTCTCATTTTATTCTTTTATTTTATACTTTTATCTTTTTATTTCTTGCATTGCGATCATTTTCATATAAAATTTTAATCAATTAAATGTAAATTTAGTTTAGTGTAAATTCATAACCTGTAATTCTAGCACATCTGTTAGATCTTCAAATTTAAATAGACTTAAAAAAAAATTGAGTCTAATTATCTACCATAATAATCATTTCAGTGCTAACATTTAGGACAAATTTATATCTTTCAGACAAAAAAAAAAATTGAAAATTCTTTTCGAATATATAACCTTGAATAGACCTATTTTTTCGATATAATTTTAAAGTTCAATAATGTTAATGAATAAAAATATTGTAACAATTAAGTATTACAGATATACAAGAATATTACTCAAAGTTTCATGTTTAATAAACGTACACACACGTACGTCAGAATTTCATGTCTAATAAACGTATACACACGTATATTTAATTTCCATGTTTAATAAACGTACACACACGTACGTCAGAATTTCATGTCTAATAAACGTATACACACGTATATTTAATTTCCATGTTTAATAAACGTACACACACGTACGTCAGAATTTCATGTCTAATAAACGTATACACACGTATATTTAATTTCCATGTTTAATAAACGTACACACACGTACGTCAGAATTTCATGTCTAATAAATGTATACACACGTATACGTAAATTTCGTAAATTCCATTGTCTGTTTAATATACTAAAACAGAAAAAAAATGGTAAAAGGGAAAAAAGGAAAAAACATTGGAAATGAGATGCGATTGATTTTTCTCTCTTTTTTATGCATTAGTGCATTTTATTCTTCTCATTTCTTCTTTTCTCCTAACGCGGAAAAAAAGGAACTAAAAAATAAAAAAAAGCGAAACGATGACTCATTTTTATATGACAGATAGCACAATTAAAGGATTCATTGTATCATTCATATAAACTCAATGGACTCTCTCCTTTTCATTTATAG